ATTAATTAAGTGATAAATCCAATAACTATAGAGTTAAATTCCCAAAAAAAGACCATACTTTCTATTTTCTAACCCATATAAATCGAGTAACTGTTATATAAAATACCGAAAAATGGAGTACATGTTTCAAATAAAGATCAAATTTTTATCACATGTAAAAACTAGAGAGACAATTTAATTCAGCGGCCAAAAAAGAGCCGAAAACAACATCTTTGCTAAGCTATATAAATTGAATAACTGTTCATTTAAATTCCCCAAAAGATTCCAGCTCCCAAATAAAAAACCCTGATTTTTATCACATGTAAATACAAGAACAGCCCAAAACACCTTATTTGCTAATCTATGCAAATCAAGTAACTTCAAAATAAAATACCCAAAAACGAGTACAAATTTTCAGATAAAAATCTGATTTTTCTCGCATGTAAAAGCTAGATAGTACAATTTAATTCAGCGGACAAAGAAAAACTCAAAAAGCTAAATCGAATATCTCTAACATATAATTCCCAAAAAGATATCTATTATCAAATAAAAATCTGAATTTTATCAACAAGAATATCACACAAAAAAAAAACATATTTTCTAGGTATATAAATCGAATAACTGTAAAGTAAAATTCACAACAAGATACCAATTTTCAAATAAAAATCATGTAAAATCTAGAGACAGGTTAATTTAGCGGATCTGAAGATTATAAAGATTACAAACAATTAGGAATTAGAGATTACCTGATCCGAAAATTAGGGTTTGGAGAGATGGGAAAGGTTGTTATAGAGCAAACCCTCACGCGTTCGGATAAGTCTGAGCAAATAGCGAGAAGTGAATGCACGCAGATTAGTTGATTTCAATAAGAAAAGTCTATATAATGGCTTTCGGGTTTTGGGCTGTGTCGGTCGAGGACAAAAAAAATACTTAGGCCTCATTTATTTTTAATTATTATTAATGGAGTTATAAATTTGAAAAAAATAAAGGAAAAAATGTGCTGGAATTATAATTTAGCAATTATTTATACAGTCGTAATTATGAAATTATCATTAAGGGGTGTGATGAGATGAATAATATCCTTAAATCTTAACAGGAGGTCTCGGATTAGAGGTATCGATACGGAAAGAATTATAGTAAGGAATGATTTCTTCTTTAATGGGCATTAGACCGACGTGAATCCAAATTAGTCGAATTTCAATTCGGTTGTTGAATACTAAGTAAAAAATAAAAATTATTTTACAAAAATTATTAGCATTGTTACAGAAGAATTTATAATAAAAATTTTTATTATGCAGAAAATTACTTGATTTTAGATTATTTAAATATTTTAACGCTCCCACCAAAAGCTCGAATTAGTTATGAATCTTTTGATGCATTATGTTTTTCTTGTGGAACCGATCAAACGCTTCATTGTTACGTAAAAATCATTATTTTCTAATATGACTAATCAAATACTATATTATTTAATATAAAAGAAAAGCTACAAAAAGAACACAAAAACACACCGAAAATTACACATAAGTACAACTCGTACACACATATTGCAATTAAGTAGCATAGTTATAAGTTTAACTTTGCAAATCTATAGCCCAAAATTAGACCCAAATCCGAAAAAACCAACATTTTTTCACACAATTAGCATTTTTTACGATCAATAGTAGGCAACATTCCTACTGCTGAGGAGAGATTATGTACTTAACTCCTACCAAAATCAGTGTTTTACTATTAACTTTATGAGATAATTAATAAAAATATATTTAAATATAAAAAGAGAGGAAAAAAAAAAGAACTGGTAGCGTTTTCCCGTCAGTTGCAGAAAATTTGTTGGGTTTCAATTAAATAGTTACTAAATATATAGTATATGAATATAGAAGTAGAAGAACTCAAATTAACAATTAGTAAAATATACATTCATTTATAAACAAACAAATAAAATAAATTTCGCAGTTTTTTTGCTTTGTCAATGGTAGAACATACGGCAATTCCTTCTCATACACACATCATTGCTAGATTTTAGTTCTTTATTTTTTTTTCAATGGTACCATTAATGGAGTTTAATCCAAAACAGATAAATAAGTTAAAATAAAATAGGTTGTCCCGCTTGAGAAGAGGTAAGAAACCACAGAAAAATTTAATATCGATGTTGTACATTCTTATACACTAGTATATACAAAATTATACATACTTATATGTATTTATACAATATACATACACTTGTATTTATAATGCCTAATAATGTACTTACATTGTATAATTGTGTATAAGCAACAATTATATACGTTTACAGATAAAATACTTTTTAGCCACCATTACACCTCAATTTTAATACCGAAGAAGATAGTAATCCATCAAAAGTGTATATAAGAAATGTTTATATATCCATATATATTATTATACAATATTATATATTATTATACAAATGAATCCTATCAATGGAGTTTCACAGGTTCTTCTTTTTCTTTCTCGAGTCTCTTCTAAAACTTGAGTTAAATCTAGCTCAATTTTGCTCTAAATCACTTCAAATTTAAGTTTTAAATTCCTTTTGATATTTCCAACCAATTGGAATAACACTCAATGATATTTTCAAGCAAACTCAATAGCACCCAGTTCAAAATTAATCTCAAATCTTAGATATAAAAGCTTCAACCTTCAATGGGTTTTTTTTTTAATCAATCAAACTTTAAATTTGAGAAACTTGAGCTTCAATAATGGAGGTTTTATGATTATATACACTGGAAGGAAGAGGATACTAACCCTAGTAGCAAGGATGAGGCAAATTCGTAACTGAACAATTTCAAATCTTGTTCAAAGATCCAGCTTCCCACTTGGAGTTGAAGTGTGCTTATATGATAGGCGTAATGGCTTCTGGGCCACTTAAACTTGCACCGGATTTTAAAGTCGATACATGAACTTTCGATTTTCCCATTTTAGCATCCAAACTCGATAAAAATACTTATAATAAACTCCTCGCTCGGAGCGTGTATCTCAATTGCCTGACATGAATATCACGTCAAATACTAAGACTATTTATTGTTTGACATTTGTAATATCTGGGTCCCATCCTTTTTAAACCAATTTACCAAATTTTTAATTTTTGTTCTCTTTCCTTTCTTCTCCACCATAGCTCCACCAAAACCTTCCCTTGCACAACCACTATTTCCAATAGTAAAAATTCAAATATGATTAATTCATATCCTAATACATACCTTAACCAAACCTCAGTATAGAAATTAGTCCAAACAAGCCATCAGATCTTCTAAAAAAATATCAAAATCATTCCGACAAGATTTTCATCAGAAAAATGGCATCTCGGCGACACTCGTCAAATCAAAACTAACAGACCTCCTTGAGAATCTATTACTTCTTCCCCCTAAAAATTTTCAGTAATTTCGTAGTCTCAACCAACCAAAGTAGATCGCCGAAAACACTGTCACCACTATACCTTTGTTGTCAACTGAAAAATGAGATAGACCGACCAAAATGATTAGTTTGTGGAGAAATGAAGACTTGCCAAAGGATTGTTCAAAGTTGCAATGAAGAGGGGGGGGGATTGTAAGGAAGAAGATAAAAAAGGGGTTTACGGGAGGGATAATTTAGGATTTAGGATGTTTTTATTTTAATTTTTTTGTCTTTTATTTACTTTTTCTTTTTTTATTCGGATTTAATATTCTTAAATATAGTAATTCGAGTGACACTCCTTTTCTGCATGATTAGCACGCACTTTGACCAAGTCAGTTGTGCTACTGCCACATAAACATAGTCAACGGTTAAATGTGTTAAGTAATTGGTTGAGTTGAGGTGTTAAAATGGAAAAATTGAAAGTTCATGTATCAGCTTTAAAATCCGGTGCAAGTTTAAGTGGTCCAGAAGGCAATTATGCCTATATAATAAGGCATAATACACATAAAAAGAGAACTATCAAGAAGCTTAAGTAGGTGTATAACATATATTGAACATTCTTTATCGATGATTTTTTTCACTTTTTTCAAATTTAAACTCCCTTGAAGAAATTCTTAACTTCACCGAATATTCAAAACTTCTAATCTGCTTGACAATAAATATAGGGGGATATATGCCAAACGTGGGGAAAACGGTTGGATGGTCCATTTACAAGTGCTATTTCAATTATGACCCTTTCTACAAGAGATTGCTAAAACAACCATAGAATAACATAGATCTTTGTAAAGCCATTTCTTATATTAGAATTGTAACTTGTACTATTTGCATCATTGTGTAGGACTTCCCAGAAAAGAAACATCTCTACTTTTCTAGCATTCAAGATCTCTGACAATGGCCCATTTATAACAGTGACCGAAGCTATAAATTTGCTAGAACCGTTATAAAAGGTTTTCAAGGTTTAATATATATTTATAAAAATAATTTTTAACTAATATACATAATATAATATTTTATATACTTGGTGCCACTGCGTCTATTGACACGAACCAAAACGTTTAAAGGTCCATTGACACCCTTAATATTAGACAAATATAGACATGGATGTATAGGTTGTTAAAGTGTTGTCCACAGCTGATGTCCTGAACATCGCTCCAAAAAGCAAATTGAGCAATTTAGGTGAAATTCAAAACCACAGCTAAAAACTCAGAGCCGTTTTGGTACCCAACATATCATTGACCTCAACACAATCTTACAGGAGAGGCTCCAACACATATCAGGAAGCTAAGCTTTATGCCAAAACAATTATATGACAGTCTCGTTTGTATATTCTATAACAGCCTTGTTTGTACAGCAAAGTGCTATTATAGACATATAATAATATAACACAAAAATTGATTCCGAAAGGAATGTCGTTATAGAAAAATTTGGGATGTATATATCTTTGGTGGGTAGAAGAATAGTCTGTCATTTGGATCATCACGTTTGAGATCAAATACGCAATAGCAGAAATCAAATTTGTAACTACTACACAAGATATCATATCTAACAGCTTAATACCAAATGTTGAGATATAGTCTTCTCATTTGATTGCAGAGAAAAAAGGAAGTTCAAGGCCAACATTTAAACCATAATTCGGACTTTATTATTCACAAACAGAGACAAGAGAACAAGTCTCCTTGCCTCTTTTGGAGACATGACATGATGACAAGTAACAGAAACTACACAAACTACTAAATCATGAATCAAACAAACAGCAAACAGACCCAAGACACAGACACAGGCATTGCCACCACTACCGACGGACAGTTTAGAAACCACCACGGAGACGGAGGACAAGGTGCAGAGTCGACTCCTTCTGGATGTTATAATCCGCCAGAGTTCTTCCATCTTCCAACTGCTTCCCAGCAAAAATCAGCCTCTGCTGATCCGGGGGAATACCCTCCTTGTCCTGAATCTTAGCCTTCACATTGTCAATAGTATCGGAACTCTCCACCTCCAAAGTGATGGTTTTCCCTGTCAACGTCTTCACAAAAATCTGCATCCCACCACGAAGACGAAGCACAAGGTGCAAAGTTGACTCCTTCTGGATGTTGTAATCAGCAAGGGTTCGGCCATCTTCCAACTGCTTACCAGCAAAGATCAGCCTTTGCTGATCTGGTGGGATACCCTCCTTATCCTGGATCTTCGCCTTAACGTTGTCGATAGTGTCAGAGCTTTCCACCTCAAGAGTGATGGTTTTCCCGGTCAAAGTCTTGACAAAAATCTGCATTCCACCACGAAGACGGAGCACCAAGTGAAGAGTCGACTCCTTCTGAATATTGTAATCAGCTAAGGTCCTTCCATCTTCCAATTGCTTACCAGCAAAAATCAACCTTTGCTGGTCTGGTGGGATTCCCTCCTTATCCTGGATTTTAGCCTTAACATTGTCAATAGTGTCGGAGCTTTCGACTTCAAGGGTGATTGTTTTCCCAGTTAAGGTTTTGACGAAAATCTGCATCCCACCACGAAGACGAAGGACCAAGTGAAGGGTCGATTCCTTCTGGATGTTGTAATCAGCTAGGGTTCTGCCGTCTTCGAGTTGCTTTCCGGCGAAAATCAACCTTTGCTGGTCTGGTGGGATTCCCTCCTTGTCCTGAATCTTAGCCTTAACGTTGTCGATAGTGTCGGAGCTTTCGACTTCAAGGGTGATTGTTTTCCCGGTTAGGGTTTTAACAAAGATTTGCATACCGCCACGAAGACGGAGCACCAAGTGAAGGGTCGATTCCTTCTGGATGTTGTAGTCGGCTAGGGTTCTACCGTCTTCGAGCTGCTTTCCGGCGAAGATCAACCTCTGCTGGTCCGGTGGGATTCCTTCTTTGTCCTGAATCTTAGCCTTAACGTTGTCAATAGTGTCGGAGCTTTCAACCTCAAGGGTGATTGTTTTTCCGGTTAGGGTTTTCACGAAGATCTGCATCTGTATATACAAAAAAGGCTTCAATCATCAAAATAACTCACACAAAATTCTAACTTCGTGCTAATACAAATCAATGAGCAACACTAATATCGATTTTTTACTGTATACATAAAAAAATCAACCAAAATTAGCACACAGATTCAGCTCCATTCATATATAAACTACAAAAGGATACAATAAAATCAAAGCTGAATTTTTCAACTGTATACATAGCAATAACAAATTCAACCTGGTAAAACAAAATCAAGGTTGATTTTTTTTTCTCAGCAAAGGATATTTTAGATCTTAAAATATAGACACAACAAAATAAACGTACAAAAATTTCAACTTGGTGCATATATAGAGCGATAAAACAAATCAAAATTGATTTTTTAAGATCCTAAAAATATAGATCTAAATTAAATAAAAGTAGCATAAAATAAGAGGAACAAAAAGAAAATGAATGAAATTAATTTTTTTACCTTGAGAAGTGTTTGAAGAAAGAGAGAAAAACTGATATTTGAGAATTGAGAAATCAAAGGATGAAGATTATGGGCACAAAGGGGCTCCTTTTAAAGGTGCAATGGCCGACTTAAGACGAAATTGCCTTATGGATTATCCTATAGTAATGTAACACGTGTCTTGTTTATTTTATACACCAAACCTGCACGCTACTGCTACCTTGTCCTTTCCTTTGAGCGGTGGAGAAAATTAGGTGCCTTTTGGATGGCAACTTCCTACGTTACATTATTATTATCACGGGTTACCAAGTATTCCATGTTCACGTAGGATTCGAAAAGAATTACATTCTATAGAAGTATAATATAAGTTGCGTGGCTAATTCTACGATTCGAATCCGTAATTTATAATTGCTCCAAGGATAATTTATTCTAATACAAATATTAATAACTGATTTTACGTCTCAAACTTAACTTGTGATATGCAAATCACACTATATCATTGCTCCTAGACTCTCTATTATTTATCGTCAAGGGAAGAATGTTATTATTAAGTTCAAAGTGGTGAGCTTTAGTGGTGAGCATTCTCCACTTCCAATTAATAGGTCGTGAGTTCGAGTCACCCTAAGAGCAAGATGAGAAGTTTTTAGAGGGAAGGAACCGAGGGTGATTCGGAAACAGACTCTCAACCCCAGGGTAGGGGTAAGTTTTGCGTATACTATCTTCTCCAGACCCTATTAGTAGGATTATACCGAGTTGTTGTTGATATCTTCAAAAGGGATAATCCAAATATCTCATTTTTAATGCAATACAATAATTTATTTATTGGAAAAAGCCTAAAAATGCCACTCAACTTTGAGAAATGGTCTATCCATGTCATCCGATAAAAAAATGCTCATTTCATGCCATTGCAGTTACATATTTGGCTCATCCATGTCATTATTGACTAACGGCTCAATTTTTGTTTTTCTAAATATTCATAACACCCACATTTTCACGTGTCATGTTGTTATTTGTCCGAATTAACCCATGCCCCTACTTAATTTTAACCTTGGTTAGGTCCACCTACCCAAATCAATAACCCAACCTAAACTCTTCATACCAAATCCCCTTCTCTTCGGTTGTCTTCCCCACTTAGTTCAAGGTGCTGGCAAAAAAGTAATTCGGAGAAGAAAGAAAAGAATTTTCCGCCGCCATTGTCGTCCTTAAACCAAGACGGAAAGCCAAATTTCTTCATGCGTGCGGTGAGTAAAGATGGAAGGTTAGAGTTGACAGAGGTGAAAACTGGTCGGCCCGAAACTCTCCTTGCTTCCGGCCAAGATGGACGACTGAGATTACATCTCATTCGTGATGAAGAAGAAGAAACAGAAGAGGAAAACGAAGATTTCCCCCTAGACAATGAAGAAGAGGTGATTAAAACAATTCAAGAAAATGATGAAGAAAAGAAGAAGAAGACAAGGTTGAATAGTGGAAGTTTCTGGTGACAAGCGGTGGCAGTAGAGATGGTGTTCGGAGATGTACGGTGGTCATCATCGTCATAGCAACCACCGCCATGATTTAGATCTTGAGGAAGAGGATTGGAGAGAAGGGGATTTGGTATGAAGGGTTTGGGTTGGGTTAATGATTCGAGTAAGTTTTAATTGGGTGGGTTTGGGTAAATGGACCTAACCAAGGTTAAAATTAAGTGAGACATGTGTTAATTCGGACCAATAACGACATGACACGTGAAAATATGGGTATTATAAATATTTAAAAAAATAAAAATTGAGTCGTTAGTCAATAATGGCATGGATGAGCCAAATATGTAACGACAATGACATGAAATGAACATTTTTTTATTGGATGATATGGATAAACTATTTCTCAAAGTTGAGTGACATTTTTAGGCCTTTTCTGTTTTTTATTTTAAAAAAGGGCTAAGGCAAATATCAGGTGCACACTTTTCTAGACTCCAAATATCTCATTTTCAATGGTCCTCACATTGAATTACATTACGCTTTATTTCCAAGCAGGAATGCTGACATAATTATGCTATCCTCCTTTTAAAATGGTGAAATTTCTTCATTTTTAACAAAATTTAATTATTTATCTAGATTTTCAATTTTAATACTAACAGTCACTTTGCATATACAGTAGGTTCCAGAATAAATATATTTTCTTTTTATTTTGTTTCATAAAAAATAACCTATTTTTAAAGTTAAAAATAATGTAACTTTAAATATCTCATTTTATTATTAATAAGATGGTGTATAATCTATCAATTATTTTTGATCATAAGTTTCAAAAGTCTTCAAATTATTTATTAAATTCTATACCTAATCAAATAGGTTCATTCTTTTTGAAACTGAAGGAGTAAATTTTTTTTAGGATGAATCATGTCACCCTTTTCTAATTACCTAAAGTAAAAATTATATTCTTTTTTCTTTAAAGGGTTTTAATTATCTAGTTAATTTTACATATTATAGTAGATTATCTATCTTGTATTAAGAAGGTTTACGCTTGAGTCGAGCAGCTTTCAGAAGCAGACTTTCTACCTCCATAAAGTAGGGGTAAGGTCTATCCCAATCTCCATAATATAGTATTGTTGCTATAAGGTTTACATATAAATATTTTTTGAGTAATCAAGTAATATAAAAAATTTATTTGCATTATGAGGGATGGCAATGGGCGGGGCGGGGAGGGTTTACTCTTATGCAGGNGCGGAGCGGGGTAGATTGCGAGTTTAATGCGGGGCAACTTTAAATTTTAGCTTTTTTTGAAACAAAGCAATCATTTCAACTACATTTTCACATTCTTTTAATTTGAATAAAATTAAATTTATCCATTTCATCATAAAATCAATCTTAATTCCTAACTTGGCATCTTAGAATAACTTGGTCTGCACCCTGGATTAAAATTTAGAAATGATCCAGTTCTTACTTTATTTATTTTGCATTTTGTCTAAGTTTTATAAAAAATTTAGGAGTTTGCTTGAATCGTAGTTATCACTTTTTTATTGCATAGATTAACAGTTTACACTTAAATTTGTGTATGTTTTCTAATATGCATATCCATTTTTCTGCACAGCACTTTGAATATCTTTTTTTTTTTACCATAATATTTCTCATATTCTTTTGCATTTATTCATTTCATCTTTTACTTATTTATTTATAAGCTTTCTTCAAACTGGTATAAGCCTTTTAGCCATTAATTAATTGAAGAACATCGACATGACATTGACTGTGGGTAACCTTTTAGCCTTTCGTCTTAATATACTGTCATTTCGGTTAAAAAAATTAAAGAAAAATTAAGTGGGGCAGGACGGGTTGAAAATTAAAAAAATAACTATGGGGGCGAGGCGAGTTGATATTTTTGTTGGTTTTGCCAAATTCGCCCCGCACCCGTCCCGCCCGATTGCCATCAAACGCTCAAATTCTTAACATAATGACTCTCTCAACGTGTCAACTCGACCCGAAAAAGAAAACTGAGATTTAGTTCCCGGGTTATAGTCCAATCGGGCCTAGCCCGTTTACTGCTAATCATCAGTATTTTCTTCTACAGTCTTAACTTCTAAGCTGGCTCAGACATAAATCGATCGGAAAATAAGCAAATCTCAAAGCTCACATGGCTCCCGTTGCTCCCAGATCCGGCGATGCCATTTTCGCTAACGTTGAACGCGTGGTATTCTAAAAATCTCGATTTTATTTAATTTTTTGTTGAATTCAGTAATTAATGTTACACTAATTTTGTATTTTTTCAACAGAACGCTGAACTTTTCACCCTAACGTACGGTGCGATCGTGCGGCAATTGCTTACCGATCTGGAGGAGGTCGAAGAGGTCAACAAACAGCTTGATCAAATGTAAATCCTTTACCTAGTTCTACTCACGGTTCCAGTTTGTGTGACTTAGATTGACTCGCTACAGTGTTTAAGAAAAAAAAGGAAGATTTTTTTTAACTTGCGCTCTTAAATATATCATTAACATTTGTGTGGTTATAAAAACATCTTAGTTTATAATTAAATTGTTTTTAAATTTAGAAAACTATCATTTTGGAATGGACAAATAAGGAAATAATATCACATAAATTGAAATGGAGGGAGTAGTCTTTTGTTACTGTTCATAGAGTTTTCGGTTGAACTCCACCTATGTGATCCGAAATCCATATAAATGAGGGAAGTTACGGCCAGAGTAGTAGTGATGAATCCTCTGAAAATGGATCCCGAGGATTCATATAGCCGACTCTAACAAGGATTGAGGTATCACTGATGTTGATATTGGTTGGAATTATCAGTGGCAATTCAATTTAATTTATTGGCCAAGAAGTATAAACTAATTTTGAGAGGTTTAACTGAATTGCAGGGGTTATAACATTGGAATTCGGCTCATTGATGAGTTTCTGGCAAAATCTAACGTCTCTAGGTGTATCGATTTCAAGGAAACAGCTGAAGTCATTGCCAAGGTCTCTCTCCCCCTCCAAATTGCATTTCATTTAATTGTGTGTTGGTTTAGTAACGGAGTTCCAGTTTTGTTTTGAATAGTAGTTCTGAAATCCTACGCGTGCCAGTAGCCAATGCAAAGCAGAAGGAACAATATGGAAGTATCAATTTTACAATTGTATTGGAGGTTAATGTGGCAGTAGTTTGAATTGAAAAAAGATTGAGACAAAACTTTGAACACAATGCATCTAGTTCTGGAAGCTGCACTATGATGCTTCATGCCAAAATATCCTTATACTCAAATAGTCTTTTAGCAGTCAGACCTGAACAAGAAAGTATAGAGAAAATTTGGTCATGTTGTTTGTACCCACTTGGAGTCTCTATACAACTGAATAACCTCTTCTTTATTTCTCTATCAAAGGGGATCATGTAAATGGTACGTAAAGTGAAAAGAAAATGCATAACAGAACATCTAAATTGTACAAAAAATAGATCTTCACTTTTGCAAGCATCTATATGGTGCAGAAACAAAGAGATGATCAGATTAGCAAAGAAGATGTAAACACACAGCATAACACGTTGTTTTTTTTCTTTTTGAAGAGAAAGACTTGTGCCACCATTTTTCTTCATTCTTTTCAAAGTTGAGAAATATAATTAACCAGAACAAATGCAAACAGATATGAGAGCAAGGGAGGGGGAGGGATGGA